TTTTTTTTTTTTATTTTTCTTTATTTCGTTTTTATATTTGTTCAGGTACAATCTGCAGAAAAAGTTTCCCTAAATCACATGGAGTGACTCTTTTATGCACTAATTAGATTTGATTCACATGAACAGATACTCTAAAGTCACACTGACAAAAGAATATCTTGCAGTATACTAAATAAAGGGAGATTCTACGGTCCGCTTACGGAACCATTCCGACGGGGTTTGTAACCGTTAGATCAACTATCCACGACGATTACGTAATGATCTAACGGTTATAAATCCAGAGGGAATGGTTCCGTAACGGGACTGTAGCATGTCCCAGTAAATTGTAACTATAAATGAATAAGTTGGCAATAACTGAATATGGCCTCTCTATGGCATTCTTATTCTGGGATTAATTTGCCTCTCATGTGTCTGTAGAAAAAATTAAAAGACAATCCTAAATCTCACATGGAGTGCCTGATTTATGCACTAATATTAGATTTAATTCACGTGAACATATATTCTTAATTCAATCACATTTCTGTTTTGATTTTAAGGGACAAGAGATAAATAAATTCACAACCATATTACACAAGGAGGTTAAATTTAGAGTGTCATCCTTCCTTAATCCACTCAATAAAATCATTGAAATTCTCACGAGAGTTCCCTCTCTCAACACTATCCAAGGTTTTCCTTTGAAGATCCAAAGCTCTCTCCTTAAACCCCTCATCATCACCCAAAACCCTTTCCAACTTCTCCTTAATCTCCCCACACCCTACAATCCCACTCTCATCTTTCCTTAGCCTCAACCCAATCTTCCACTCGTCGCAAATATACGACTCGTTCAGAAACTGGTCCGCGAAATACGGCCAGCAAACGAACGGCACCCCACCGCACACAATCCCCTCGACCGTCGAGTTCCACCCACAGTGGCTCACGAAGCACCCGACCGCTCGGTGGGACAAAACCTCCTGCTGTGGGGCCCACCGGACTACCATATTCCCACGCTCCTCGACCCTCTTCCGAAAGCCCTCCTCTTCTATATGGGTCATCACGTCCTGCCTAACGACCCACAAAAACGGCCTTCCCGTGAGCTCGAGCCCGAGTGCCAGCTCGCGGAACTGTTTTGGGTCGAGCACGGCGAAACTCCCGAACGCGACGTACACGACCGAGTCGGCCGGGTGGCGGTCGAGCCACGTCATGCAGGCGCGGTCCTCCGGCCAGAAGTGGCCGGAGGATTTCGCGAGGCGGTTGCTAGCGAGGAGCGGGCCGATGGGAGTGGCGTCGGGATGCTCGGAGAACGTGCCGGGCTCGAGATTGTACGAAGAGTTGCAGTAGAGTCGGTCGGCGTTCTTTTCCGAGTCGGGGATTTTCCGGAGCATGTCGTAGATGATTTTCTGAGTGGGCCGGTCCCCGACCGAGGCCCATATGAAGTTGGTGGAATGCAGGGGAGGAGTGCCCGGGCCCAACTGAACCATCTGCCTCTTCAAGATTGTTCCTGCAAATTTATGTAAAATCAGAGTAGTGACTTGGTTAAGAGTTTCACGGCCAACTTTTATGACTAGCAATTATGTGTTTTTAGTTTTTTTTAGTAGTCTCATTTGCACTATCTGTATAATTTTATTTTATACATCTTAATCGTCTCACACGTATTAATCATTTTGTACTGAGACACGTATTAATCATTTTGTACTACAGCAGTAGACTGCAAACGAACCGAGCGGCTCGCGAGTTAATGCTCGACTTGAGCTCGAGTTTAACCGAACTTTAACGACTCGAGCATAGGTTTTGGAAGGTCGAGTTGCTCACAAGCAACTCGAGACCTTATATATAAATATTTCAATATTTTATAGGAGGTGCTCGCCACCAGTTGGAGTGAATTACTAGAATTCCCCTTGTATATAAATATTTCAATATTTTATATATATACTTAATGGTAATTTTACTTGAAATTAAAGTCGTCTCGTTCTTCGCTCCTCTCCTGGCAACGTCGAGTGGCTTTCGCTCCCGTACGACTATGAACTCGAGTTAAGCTCGATCAATCTATCGAGCATTTTGATTTCAATCGATCTTGAGCCGAGCTCGAGTGATTGCCTTCTTCTGTCGAGTCGATCTCAAGCATTATAAATGGAGCTCGATGAGCTCGAGCAAATTAAAATAAAAAATCAATCTTACTCGACAAGGCCAATGCTCCACTCGACGTGGCTAGTGACTAGAAACATAACATATATTATATACTTACTCATTGCATTATAATTTTTCAGTTGGTGGTATAAAAATAGGTATTTTTTATACTAAAAAATAACTATTTTGAGAAGGTGCAAAATAATAAATCCAAACGGGAAAAATTTGGTTTCGTCCCTGCCTCTCATTTAAATTTGCAGATAAACACAAAAGGAACTCACCATCTTCACCGTCTATGATCCCATCACTTATAAGCCGTGGAATGCTCAGCAGCGACACCCGCGCCGCCGCTGAAGCCAACCCAAAGCCCACCTTCTTAATCCCGAACTTGGCCGCCACGTCAAAAGCCCACCCAAATTGTCCGTCGGCAATTACGCAGCTCACCGGTTCTCCGACCCGAGCCGATCTCTCGATTACAGACTCCAAACCACCCGGCATCGCCCGGAAAATCCCTTCCGTCAGCTTCCCGAGGTCTTCCCTGTCCTCCGGCCGCTCGACCCCGTCCGGAATCGAGACCATTCTCACTTCCCGGCGAACATCCGGGCCGGACTCCGAGGCCGAGTCCGAAATCGATTTCATGACCCGGTCGTGGATGAAATCGGTGTTGACGAAAGTGACCCTGATGCCGTGGTCCGCAAGGCGATGAGAAAGCTCTAGCATCGGCAGCACGTGGCCCTGGGCCGGGTATGGCACCACAACCGCGTGGGGCTTCACCATTTTTTGACTTTTTTTTTTCGGCGAGTAGGAGGCCTCTGTGTTGAACAATGTACTGTTTGTGTTTGTTAGTCCACGATTTGAGTTAGGGCGTGCTTGTTTATAAACATTTCATTAAAAATGATTTATTTTAGTTAATTATAGTTTTTTTTTTTTTTTTACAGGGACCTTCCGGTTTCCGGATCCACAGGGGAATCGACTAATCCGGAATCGAGCCGGGTAGGACCACAAGGGCGGCAAAACTCTCCCTCAAGAGTTTTAACACTGCTGCATCCCCAGGGCTCGAACACAAGACCACTGGTTAAGCTGAAAGAGACCCAAGTCATCTCATCCAAGCACTCTTGGGTTAGTTAATTATAGTTAATTCAAAAAAAATGCATGTTGTTAGTGAGATTTCAATAATGTATTAAAATAATATTATAAAATGATTAAAATTGATTTGAAATAAAAGTATGAGATAAACGATTCGAAAAGATTAAAAATGATAGGTAGTTAAAATTATGTTAGTGAATGGAAAGTGAATTCAAGTTGATGTGATGTATGAAAATGATTGGTTTGTATTATTTAATTTTATGAATAATATTAATAATAGCGAGATTGAGTTAAAATTGAGTTAAATTTTGAGTATAAATTGAATGTGAGTACAATTATTTTATAAACAAGCATGCCCTTAAATTCTAATTCATTATATTATTCGATAATGTCTGACCTTTTTGGTGCTCGATTGATTTAGGGCGTAAATATATATTGAATGTGTGTTTTTTTCTTTCTACAAGCTTGACTATATGAAAATTTATTATTGATACGTGCATAAAAGTCTTGTTGCGAGACAACATGTTGAAAAATGCATTATTGTTATGTGCACAAAAGTCCTGTTGCAAGGCAAGATGGAATCGATTTTAGGGAGAAAACAAGGAATTTATTTTATAAAAATTATTGAATAATAGTTAGGTGACACTTTGCTCTCAGGCTTTCAGCAATAATATTCTTATATTTTACCAACAGAGATTGACTCAAGTGGTAAGCAGCTTGATGTTACTTAAACAAAGTCTCCAGTTCGAGTCCTTGTGGATGTAGAAAACCTTTGTTGAGAGACTCACCCATCACTGTCAGGTGTGCGACCCGGCGGGTCGACCAACGGATTAGTAAAGGCATAATTTCGGATACCGTGACTGGCTATCAGAAAAAAAATTCTAATATACTTTTTTTTTTAAGTTGGCCCGATATTATTGCAACTAATTGACATATATGATATATACAACAAATAGATAACAGTAAAACTAACCACTCCACAATTCTAGCTCAGCTAAATTGGACAACGTGAAAGATACAAGTAGAGGCAATATGGTAATAAGATTAACTTGGCAATGAATAATTATTAAAAGTAAAGAAAATATATAACTATGTAAGTAGGGAGTTTATCAGAGTAAATTTTATATAGTGAAAATGAAGGGAAATGCTACGTCACGTTACGGAATCATTCTGTTTGGACTTATAATCGTTAGATCATCATGTAACCGTCAGAAATAATTGATCTAACGGTTACAAGTATCTTCTAAAAATGAAATAGAGTTGGAAAATATATATGGTGGTAAAGAAAGACGAAATAAAGAAATTTGCTTAGAAACAAACTGTAGTAAATCAGTGAACCAATTAAGTATTTACTAAATAATATATGTAATTAACAATATAATATACTATATTTAGATGTGTATCAATGAATCAACTTAAATTTTTTTAACAGATATGCATATGCATATATAGATTTAAATCCAAATGTCAGACTTAAAAAATATAATAAAAAAAACTATTACATTCCCTGCTTTAATTTTCTGTGTATGACATATCGACCCATCCGACAACAATTTGTGTTACCACGCATGCAGGCCACAAGTCACAAGCTTGTATGGGCTTTGGCCCGTAAAAGGGCCACAAATGCCAACCCAAATTAATTCCTGCATAAATCGTTCTAACAGGCTTTTCTCGTGGGCTCAATTTTTGCAAAGTCAAAGCCCAAACCTTTCCTGTCAGCTATATTTTATGGGAAACGTAATAATAATAAACAATACAAAAATACAGATAATTTCCGTACGGTACAATATATCACGTGCGTGGCATGTGATAAGATATTTAGAATAAAATATGAAATATTAAAAAACCAAATATATTGTGGATTACATTTCTCACAGCATATGAGATTACGTCCCATTATTTAATAATCTCGTTACAGTCACGTGGACTAGTCACATTGTCTCACGTGCGGAAATTGACCGAAATAACCCGGGAAAAGCCACATGCAAACACGTGATATAATTATGTCACAAAACGTTGAACCACGTTGGACAGGCGTATATGATCACTAACATTATTATTATTATTTTCATTTATTTGTAATCACTTCACAAAGTGAAGATTTTGATTATCCTCCAATTGTATCTTACAAAAAAGTTAAAGTGCGTGATTAGTACAAATATGTCCGCTCAAAACGAGTTTTCTTGGTTAGCTGGGGTTAATGTTGAAAAAAGTTTGGTATGATTAGTCGTTAGTGAAATTTTAATTTATATTAAAATAATATTTAAAATAAAAATATTAAAGTTGATTTGACGTAAAAGTATTACAGATGTGTTGTGAAGTGATGATTAGCTGGTGTACCGAAAAAAAAAATTATATATGTGAGTAAATGAATGAATATTAGTAATTAAAATTGGTGTGATATGTAAGCAGAACAGAATGATTGGTTGATATTATTTAATTATATCAATAATATTGGAGATATTGAAATTGTGTAAAAATTGAGTAAGATGACGAGTTGAAATATAATTTATAAATAAAACACACCTTATTATAAATATGCAAAAAGGACAAAATAAAATTTGTCTTGGTAAAAGATGGCCTGTGATGAAGTCATGATGCTGACTTCATCAAATAAGTTTAATTACTACTCAATTATAAATATTTTTATTCATAGGCCAATAATTAAATTAATAATAAAATTAATAGTGAGTTCCAAAAGGGAAAGAGAAAAATGGAAGGGAAAAAGGATTGGCATTGGATTCATATATATATGCAGAGAATGTGAAGAACATGATGTACAATTCATGCTGCTTCACTGTCTCCACATCTGTCACATGCAATCTCCCTCTCTTGAAGGTACAATCCTCTTTTCCATGGTGCATGTGCTCCCCATGTGCAATCCCCTCCTCATAAAAGCCCTTTATGGATCAAAATGACAAGAATGCCCTTCAATAGAGTATATATGGGATTCACTTTTTAATATTATTATTTTTATGTGTATAGAATTTATATGTATGTTCCGTTATTCGATTGTGTTTAGCTGTTAAACGAAACGAGTCGCTCGTGAGTTCAGTTTGTTAATGCTCGAGTTCGGTTCGGCTCAAACGACCCGAGATCGAGCTTGCTTAAAGCTCGCTTCCTTAACGAGCTGGGCTCGATGAGGCTCGTTAAGGCAAAAAAAAAAAAAAGAATTATATAATTTTATATAGTTCAACTCGTTAAAGCTCGAACTCGGGTTGTTTACTTACGAGCCAGTCGGGCTCGACTCGTTAAAGGCTCGAGTACGATCTCAAGTACCCTGAGCTCAAGCTCGTCCGGCTCATTTACAACTCAATCTACAGATAAACAATAACATCTTTGGATTTTGTGCAAATGTAATTATCAGTAGATCTTCAATGTGATTAGACTTTTCCGTGAGAGCATAACTGCAATTCGAATTTTGAGTCGGGTTCGATTCGTTTCCCTGTCATGTTCGTGTTTGCAAGATTATAAATTAATTAAAAAAAAATTGCGATTGATTATCTGCAAATTAATTGTTGTTATGCATGCATTGATCATGTTTATATTTTTATTGAGCTTAAAACAATACAAAATTTGGAATGACATTATTCAACAACATTTGGTAGTTGGATATGGGGTGAAAAAAAGAGCTGAGCCAATAAATATCAAACAAATTAAACTATTTTTGAATTTTAATTTATATGTATATATTGGTCTGTGGTAAATTGGGCTGCATTTCAAAATAATAATAATAATAATAATAATCCCTATATATAATAATAATAATAATAATATTGAATGAGAATTGGCCACTTTACATTGACCACAATGCAAGGGTATTTTAGTCAAATGGGTCACATGGTACGAGCTACGAGGGACCACTGCGCAGATGGGCAGAGCTTTCGAATTGCTCGCAATTTGTGCCCTCTTCCCGCGCTAACTATTTTTCAAGTTGATGCAAAATTGTGATATTACAAAATCACCCTTACAATAGACGTGAAAATATATATTTGTGCAGGGGCTTCGCCAATTAATTACTGCCAGCTGGTTCCTATGTTAAAAATCGTTCAGGCGAGTAGCTCACTGTAATTAAATGATGCCACTATCCGGTAATTTATTTTTTTTTTAATTTCATTTCGCACTAATTAAAAAAAAAATACTAACTTTGATTTAAAAAGTAAAAAAATATAACTGGTAATGTATATAATACACTGTTCACGAATGGAAGCTACTTCAAATAATAATTTATGTACCTAAATATATTATGGGGAGATGCTACATCCTCGATACTATTTTGTCGAGTTTGTAACCGTTAGATCATCATATAATTGTCGGGAACAGTAACGTTACAAATCCCGACCTGACTGTAACGTTTCCCTATACTATGAAGAAAAGTATTTGTAGGGTATAGCTAATTATGAAGTATTAAGAAATAAACATGGCTAGAAATTATTACACATGTATGTCTAAGGTCTTAACCAAAGCCTAATAAAAGCTCCAAATCTCCATTTAATTTGTAACCGCCTCACGTGGAGGCACGCTAGTCCGTGCCCCCAATTTCTCCTATAAAGCCATCCCTCCGTAACCCGTTACACCGCCGCCCCCAAATCTCCTTCAGCCGCCTCTCCTCCGCCGCGATGGGTTCGAAGCCGAGAATCTCAGCCGCCGCCACGGCCGCCGGGAGGCCGAGGGCAACAACGCCGGGATCGAACCAAAGCATCACGGGGAAGCCCCAAATCAACCGCCGTGGATCTGCGCACACCGCCCCCGCCGACGGCGCGGTGGTTTCTGACAAATTGGAGACACTCAGAAACCTCATCCGTTCACAAGACGCCGGAGAGAATCCCGACCAGCTGTTTCAGGAAGCCGCCGACTACATCGTACTTTTGAAAACTCAGGTCATTGTTCTGCAGAAATTGGTCGGTTTTTACGGCGCACAACCTCAGGAAAACCGAGATGGCGGCGCGTAGTAGTGAAGATGAAGAAGAAGAAGAAGCTTGTTCTATTTTTCTATATATTTTATTATATTTTGTCTCTTTTTTTTTTTTTTTTTTTTTTTTTTTTTTTTTTTTTTTTTTTTTTTTTTTGGTGCTGTAATATTTTTAGTTAGTATTCATGGCGTGACTGTATAATTGTCCTATTATAAAATTGGTTTTATTTTATTTTTCTATTTTGTTTTGTGTTTTATTTATGATCCTCTATTGTGATTTGTGAAGAGTTGAAAACCATGAATTATCAAGTTGTTTTGGAACCGAAACGAGTTGTCCGTGTGCTCGGCCTGGCTCAGACTCCATTTGTTTCATTAACAAGTCGAGTTAGGGCTCGTTTAAAGCTCCTTAAGATTAAACAGTATGTGTTTTTATATAATTCTCTATGGCTCGGCTTGTTAAGACCTAAGTTTCGCTTATTAAAATTCGAGATCGACTTGCCAATATCGATAAAAGTACTGAGTGCTACTTCGTATAGTTAATTAACTAATCTCGGTTAGTCTCGATAAAGGCTCGAGCTCATACTTGAGTACCAAGAGTTCGAGCTCGGCTCGACTGCTTTATACTCCTGCTTAGGCTGAATACCATAAATAATTGTAATTTTTAAGAGTGTGATTTTGTGTATTTTCTTGTGTAATGTTGTTTTGTATTTAGTATTCACCAAGTAGGTTTTGTTTTATGTTTGTGTTTGTATAATGATTATTAATGGTATTTGATTTAGACTGTTTGTGATAGTCTTCAATTATCCTAATTTATGCAAGCAATGCCAATATTCTTTTTTTTTTCCCATATATAATAGTAATACTAAGCAAAATGTAGATGAAACATTAATATTGAGTTGAAGCTGATATATGAGACTGAACAATCCATCAATTTTAAAGTTATGTGAGAATTGTGATTTTATTAATTTGTAATGTACTTAGATGTGAATACCAATAGTAATTAAATTTGTTTACATGATATATAAATAAACAAGCATTGCAAAAACCAATTTTTTCGTCAACACAACATGATTTCATCGTGCTCGCAAATACATCTGAATTTGAACATCTTTGCGAATAGATAACGTTTATTTAACAACCCGAGTTCAACCAACATTTTTATTATTGAGCACGAGTTTGAACGTAAGGCTCGGCGCAGAATTGCGTGTAAATTGGAGTTTTTTTCGATTCAATAATCGAACCTTCAATTACATAACCGAATTTTGGTATGTTCGATAATATGCACATACCTAAACCGAATTGCATTCGTAACCAAAAAAAAAAAAACGATTCAATTTGGTAATTTTTTGGTATTACCAAAAGTGTATTAACTTGACTCATCAACACTAGTAGAGTAGAACATGTCATGTTAAAGCCTCCAAACCAAAAAAGCACCACGAAAACACCCACCCTCAAAGTAGCTGGATTTAAGCAACAAAACATCACTAGAATGATAGGATCTTTAGCAGCAAAACACCACCAAAATAATGGGCCTTTTTATTGATTTACACAGAATGGGCTATTGGGTCACTTCATGGCCCAATCGAGAAAATAATAGTAATATTTTCAGGAAAAACAAACAGACAAACGAGATGTAACATGTGGGACCCAGAAAAAATCTCTCCTATTTCTTCTCTTCCTACTTTTCTTCATCGATTTTCCATTTGCAGACTAATCAGAGCATTCAGCAGACAGTGATGTAAACCCGATCATGATCCGAACTTATGTCCTTGCTTGAAGGTAAAGTTAATCTCGCTCTAACATTTTTTTCAGTACCTATTAGGGTTAGGTTAATTTACCTCAGCAATCGAGCTTTTTTTTT